AAACAGGTGAGCAGAAGCAGCTGGATGATAAAGTTTCCAGCAGTCAGACCAGACTGATGTGGTTCCTTTACATTCATGAGCCTCTGAACAGGATGTTTGCGTGAAAACTGGTTTTATTCTTCGTGCTAAACACACCTGGAACATTTTACAACATTAAAACTGAACACGACTGTTGGTCTGTTTAAAACCGTCACTACAAGCTTCTGTTTGTTTGTTTACTTGTGGATTACTGTTGATTCTGTTTAAGTTTTGCTGTCATTTAAAATGATTACGTGAGCTGTAAATAAAGGTTGAATGAATGAATGAAGAGATCTGGATGCATTCTGATAGAAACAGAACCTGCTCCAGATGTCTCTGCCGGTGTTTCGCTTCACAACAAACCCTCCAGATGGTTTGCATTAAAACAAACTGTGTTTAGAGGAGAACTCATTCTGCAGCTTTTACAAATAATGTTGGTTTTGTCTGCAGATGCGTTCTCCCACATCATCCCTCCAGAGCTGCTCATTCTGTCCAATCTGCTGACAGCTGCTGATTTATTTCACATCACAATACATATATTTAGCAGATAATCTGAACACTGCCATGTCGGTGTTATTCTAATATCATTTATTTTTTGTTTCTTATTTATTTCACCTCAAACCTGATTCTTTTTGCCTTCTCACTACTTAATCTCTTTGTTTTAATGTGTTCAAATTTATTTATTTTTCATTGCTGTGTTCATATTAAATGTGTGACCTGTGTAGCTTGTTAAAAAAACAAGTAGTAATTATTGGTATTGTGTGGGATTAAACAGTCTATAATTATTGATTTCTCAGCTGCTACGGCTTACACAGACATGCTAAGAGTTGCTAATTAGCACTAGCTGACGGCAAAGTCATTAAGTTTGCAGGTATTTAGAAAAAAAATGAAATGTTTTGTTAGTTTTGTGCAGTTTCCGTTTCGTATTTTAGTCTCATTTTGTGTTGAAACCCATCAAACTGTAGATATTCTAGTGTCGACCAGAACCAGACAGCGTGAAGGAGGAAGAAATGCAAAGTTAAGAGAGAAATGAAGGATAAAAGAAGCTGGAAGGAGATTCAGGAGAAGGTTAAAGGAAGTGAGGAGGGAGGAAGGAAGGCGAGGAGTGAAGGACGAGATGCAGATGAGGAGGCTGAGCGGAGACAATGAGCGTAAACATCCCACTGTGTCACGTCCATTCACTCGGAGCTCTATCTACAAACAGCAGATTGCAGCGCTCGCCGGCCCAGAGCCAGGCGGCGGCTGCAAGAGGAGATAAGGCGTGTTGCATCGTCGCCATGGCAACAGGCCGACGGCGACGAGAGCGGAGACGTTGGGATCGGAGCGTCTCCGTGGAGTCGCCGCGGAGACGCTTCCTACCTGCCGGTCGTAGTTGATCTGAGTCTCCTGCTCGATGTCGGAGTCGAGCTCCGGCACGTCGGACACGTCGCTGTCCGACTCCTCGCTGTTGGAGTCGCCGTGGCCGTCTGGAGGGGAAACAAACACGAGTTCTGATTTGTTAACTGTGGTGGTGAAAACAAACATGAACAATCCAGTTAGAGAAGGTTAGTCATGGAGTTCTCCAGGGTTCTGTACTTGTACCGATACTTTTCACTTGTACCTGCTTCATGAAGAAAACCAGCACGAACTTCTACTTTATGCAGATGACACTCAGCTGTATTTATCTACAGGCTGATGTGCGTTAATATAACTAATTATAATAATAATTAATATGACCCAGTTCATCATGTTCACATCTAGAGTCTGTAATTTTACAAACAGTAAATTGTATCGAAAAAAAAAACTTTTTTTGAACAGATATTTGCTGTTATTTAAAAAAAAAAAAGGTACATTAAGAATTTAAAAATGGTAAATAATTTTTGTTTATATAATATTTCCCTGTTTTGTTAAAATACATATAATATCCAGTAAAATCACATAAAAAGTATTATTTACATGATGACCCTTAAAACGTACAAAACTGTAAAAAAACAAAAAAAAGTTTGTAATTTGTTCTTTGTTTGTTCATAAACTTATACTATTTCTACTGTATTTAAATCAGTAAAAAAACGGTAAAATTAAACAATTATTTTTACAGTATTTAAATCACCAATAGGATTGATTTGTTCTTTACTTTGACAACAGTAATTCGTTTTTTATTTTTTATTACATGTGACCTTAAATTGAAAAAATCTAATTATTTTACAGACATTGCTGCTATTTTATAGTTTATTACGTTCTAGTATTCTACAGTTTTTTAACGTATTTTTGTTGCCTGATTTTTACTATTTTTATTTATTTTTAACAGTCTGGTTCCTCTGGATGCCTTCACCATCACTGACCAGGTTCCTCCTCTAACTCAGGAACCTCATCATCTTCTCCACCTTCACTGTTCTACCAGCTGATCTAATCAAACCTCTGATTGGCTGAAGGCCTCCCGCCACCGCCCACCTTGCACGTTGACGTCCAGACCTCCGTTCATCACCGACTCCGGCAGGAACCTCCACTGGAAGAGGGCGTGGTCGGCGCCGCCGGTGGTCAGAACCCACTGCAGGTCGTGCGACCAGCGGACGTTGGTGACGTGGGCCGAGTGTCCGATGTACTTCTTGAACTTGGCTCCTTGGAGACAAAACCACATTAAAACCCAGAACAGAGGAGGCTGAAGGCTGAGAGCTGAGAGCAGGAGGCGGCGGCGGACACCTTTCCTGATGCAGGGGAAGCGGTACAGCTTCACCAGGCCCAGGTCGTCCCCGGCGACCAGCACGGCGGCGGCGTGGTTGGCGTCCACGGCGTTGATCTCCGTCAGGTCGCAGTACTTGGGCCAGATGCCGCTGACCTCAGAGCCCAGGACGCCGCTCCAGGACGCCCAGCGCTGACCTTTGACCTCCTCCTTACTGACCACCGGCTTCC